AAATCTGTGAGAGAATAAATTTCTGTTGCTCCAAGCCACCCAGTTTGTGGTAATTTGTTGCACCAGCCATAATGAAACTAATATCACTGCATAAATGTGGCATGGTGCCTCAGGCATTTGACTGCTAACCAGAAGGCTGGCAGTTCAAACCCACCAGCCACTCCTTGGAAGGAAGATTGGGGCAATCTACCTCTGTAGTGATAATGCCTTGGAAATCCAAGGAGGGGGTCACTATGAGTCAGAACCAACTCAACGGCAGTGAGTTAGGTTTATTTATTTATTTGGTTTTTAAATATATCAACAAATTTGTTTTATATATATACATATATAATTCAGAGCAGATGGGCTTGGAGTTTCTGGAAGTAAAGTGAGAGGTGTCATGATATGGTCAGCACAGGGAAAAGAAATATTAGGCAAGATATAGAGAGAGGTGAGATGGTTGAGAAGCAGATCAGAATATCCCATGCACAAGAAGAAGGATAATGAGACCACATCTCCATGCTTTCATAAGCGCTATTCCCTTTACCTGGAATGGTATTCTCCTTCTTACCCTCCCAATAAATGTTCATCTATCTTTGGAGGCTCAATTTAAATATCACTCCTCTCATCCCCAGTATTTGTCATTCTCTCTGAGTATTGTCTATGTCCTTTGTCCTAAAGTTCTTATGGTACTTGTCCCATTCTGCTGTAATTACCTTATTAAGTGCCTGCCTTCATCAATAGACTTTGGAATGCCATATTTTCATGCACATGTTACAGGGATTGTTTTTTTTCAAACTATGCAACCCCCCCTGCATTAGTTTCCTATGCACACTATGTGTATTATATGTAATTTATGCGTGCACGCTTTATGTATGTGAGTACATTATATGCGAAAAATACTGCACTTAAGAGTAGAGATTATGTTCTACTCATCTTATGTCCTAGAACGATGGTCCTCAAAGGGGAAAAATTTTGTCCCACCATGGACATTGGGCAATGTCTGGAGATACATTTTTTTTTCCCAAAACTAAGGAGGTGAGTTTTACTGGCATTGAGTGAGGGACAGGGATGCTGCTAAATACCTGCAATGCACAGGACAGCCCCCACAACAAAGAACTATCTAGCCCAAGATGTCAATAGTGCTGAGGTTCAAGACCTTGTCCCAGAACTTCAAATGGCCTCCAACACACAGAGAACTCATGGAATGTTTGTGGGATAATGGATGGATGGATGGATGGATAGATAGATGGATGGTGAATAAACAACATGGATCTCTAGAGTAATAGTTTTAAAGCATGCTGCACAAGACAACCACTCAGACTTCAACCCCAGAAATTGACTTTAAAAAGTATTAATTCCCATATCCAACTCCTTAGAAACTGATTTAATTCATCATGAATGAGACCAAGGCATTAATATTTTTTAAATCTCTCAAGGCGATTCTAATTGGCAGGCAGAGTTAAGAAGCACAGCCTAAGGGATAAACTCAATAAAGCATAAAATGGTAGGTACAAGCCAAGTGGAAAGATCTGAAAATGAAAGATATACAAAGTATACATGATCCCGTATGGTTATATATGTCTCTAAATAAAATATTAATCATGAAAAAGTAGAAAACTCAATAGAGCCCAGGGTATGCTTGCTGTCAATGACAAAGCAGTTACCAAGAAGAGTAACATGGATGGTTGGAGAGATAAAAAGACAAATTGGAGAAGGCAATGCCCTCCATCTAGTCCAGAGCTTCTCACACTTTAATGGGCTCATAAATCACCTGGCTGGGGCAGGGACATCTTATTAAAATTCATTAGATCTGGGTGAGGCCAGAGACATTACATTTCTAACAAGTTCCCGGGTGATGCTGATACTGCTGGCCCACTGAACTGGTCAACAATAATTTCAGCAGATCTTCAGTCATTTTTTATTTTGACACAGTTTGAACAAAACAAGGAAATCAGAAGTTCCCAGTAACTGATAATTTGATAAGTACATTATAATTAAATATTGAAAGTCTTAAACATGTCATTGTTCATTTACACTGAACAAAGTAATAGATAAAATGATATTTTATAAGTTGATAGCAAAAATGATCAGTGGCAAGAAGAACTGGATTAAAGAAAATTAACCGAAAGGAACTTGAAAAGATAAATTTACCGAATATAAACTCACTCTATTCTAAAGTTTCATACACACACACACACACACACACACATATGGAATTAACACTGGAATTTTCTACATGGAAGCTGTAAATTTTTAAGTCAAATACAACTTTAGAGGAGGACTGGAGGCAGAAGATTAAGTCACTAGGTGCACTTGAAAAACAATAAAAAATCCATTGCCATCAAGTCAATTCTGACTCCCAGCAACCCTATAGTAGTACTGAAAAAGTAATTTAACAAATAACCAGGAGCCTGAAGACACACTTTTTGAGATAAATAGAAACCATCCAGACAATGAATTAAGGATTTCCATAAGAGCAAGCCAATTATTTTTATGTACAAATATATATATATATATATCAGCTAATAGTGTTAATGTTTCTAGACTCTCACTACTCCACTGCAAACTGATTAGACCCACACTAAAGAAAATGTCCTCAAAACAATTTCATTTCCTTTAAACTGTTCAAGAGGTATGAGTAGTGATATACTAATACCTACACCCTTCAAACCACTACAACATCCTTCCCAAAAGTCAATTCATCTACAAGCAGACTTCATTGAGCAAGTTACAATCAAACAGACCTTTTGATGGGCAGAATTTCTACATGAAGTATATTCAGATGGGCTGAGTGGTTAAGGCGTTGGACTCAAAATCCAATGGGATGTCCCCACGCAGGTTTGAATCCTGCTCACGGCGTCTGTACTAGGAGTTCTGGTGGTGTAGTGCCTAAGGCATCTGACTGCTAACCAGAAAGGTGGTGGTTCAAACCCACCAGCCACTCCTCAGAAGGAAGATTGGGCAATCTACTTTGGTAGTGATACTGCCTTGGAAACCCAAGGAGGGGTCGCTATGAGTCAGATCTGACTTGATGGCAGTGAGTTTGGTTTCGTTTTTTGACAGTTATAGCTGTTAGTACAACTCATTCTATCAGAGGATTCCAATGGAATAACTTAAGTAGCTTTCTTTCATCTATACAGAAACCTGTATTTCTCAAGTCTGCACAGTGAATTCCTCTTACTACCATTAATTGGAGAGCCTGAGTGCTCCATTCCAGGGACTCTGATTTGAGGAAGTCCGGCTGGGGCTTTGGACGTAGGTATAAAACGAACAAGCAAAAAGCTCCTCCAGATGATTCCAATGCTCACCCTGGTTAGGAATGATGTTCTGTGGTTGGTAACTGCTTCTCAAACTTCACTGTGCATACATACCACCAGGGAGTCTTATTAAAGTACAGATTCTGATGCAGCAGGTCTGGGGTGGGGTTTAGGCTCTGCATTCCTACTGCATTCCCAGGGCTTACAAGGTGGGACAGAAACTCACCCCCAAACAGTCAAGCACATGAAGTAGAGAGGACCAGGTAGGGACTATGTCCTCCTGGAGAATGCCTGTCTCATCTAAATGGATCACCTGCAACTCAGCTCCCACAGGTTGTGAAAGGACCTTCTAATTAGTCAGAAAGTCAGAAAGCCAGGCTTTTATGGGAAATCCTGATGGAATGTTAAATATCAGGAAAGCCAACCAGGTCCAGTCACCATGTTAATAACTTTATGTGAATCTTCTTATTTTATCCTCATTACAACACTATAGGGTAAGTACCAATGCTACCCTTATTTTATAGGTTAGAAAACTAAGGTATAGAGAAAGAAAGAGATTGAGTAACTTGCCTGAAACCACCTGGCTACTAAGTAGCAGAGCAAAGATTCAAACTCAAGTCTGCCAGGCCCAAAACAGGCCATGTCACACTGCTGGTCTAGGTTCTAGTCTGGGATCCTACTGCTTCCCTAGACTAAACTAGTTTTGTCTTTTGGATAACTAAGTTTCTCTTGGGTTTTTATGTCAGTTTAATTCAGAGTGACCAACCATCCCATTTAGCCCAGGACTGATGAGTTTTCCAGGATGTTGGACATTCAGTGATAAGACTGGGACTACTCAGAGCAAACTAGGACAATTGAGCTCAAACAGCAATGATTGTAAGGATGACTCAGGATAGGGCAATGTTTCATTCTGTTGTGTAGGTCATTATGAGTTAGAACTTGACAGCACCAAACAACAATAAGAGTTTTCATTTAGGGGTATTATAAACAACCTTGTGTGACTTCTTATTGCATATGTTATAGAAAATTTTAAGATCATTGTTCATTTAATGGGTACTGTAGAAAATTTCACTTTGTTTTCCTTGAAGAATTAGAAAAGTTTTTTCCCCTTTCACTATGTGACTTTTTGTCCCTTTTCTGCCCCACCCTACTATGCTTGGTTTTTTTATCTATATTTTCCTTTTTATTATATGGATTTCTATTGATAACTAGCTTAAATGCTTTGCAGGAATAGACAAACACTACGCATGTACAGATGCTTTTTTGTTTTCATTATTTAGAAAGCAATGCATCATAAGAAAATTTACTAAATACTAGATTAACCACAGACCTGAAGCTTTCTCTTTCTGACGTTCCAGTGCACTTCATGACTTCTCCAAGGTTAACTGTGACCAGACAACACTCACTCCCCACCCTCCTCATACTTCCATGTTGTGGAACTTAAGTGGAACAACATCCCTGGTCTCACTCCCCCCTCCACTCTCCCTATGGGAGGAAGAGCCAAATTTCTGACTGATGTGTTTGGGGAGCAGGAGCTGGGTATGCTCAGTTCAGCCCCTTCCTCTTCAGAAGTCAGCCCCCCCCCCCAAACACACACACACACAGGAAAGGTACATTCTTCCCTCCTCGTTGTTATTGATTTCACATGGACAGTTCACAGAGAAGCCCTGAGATGTTCTTCCTCGGCCAGTGACCACGCAGGTAAGTTTCCTTGGGAGGCATAGCATTGGGAACTACATTTGGCTACACACTCAGGTTACTTCACTTGTTCTCTGTATTACACCAGCAATAAAGCTGACCTTCTTGATCTTCATTTGTTAGACTCTGTCCATTCTCATTTGGGAAGAGAGGAGAACTATTTACCAAACACCTAAAACCCCAACAGATGAAAAGTGGACAAGAGAGCAGCATAAGCCACTGGATGCTCCTGTGCCCTGACAAGAAAAACAAACAGAAAGTAATGGAACCAACAGTCTCAGCTCTGGAAAGCAGTCAAAGAGTTACGGCATCTAAGTGAACATTGACTCAAGAAAAAGACAACTTTCAGACAGTAGGAAACTTTTCCTTACATACTCTTCCTCCTACCTGCCTCTGTGGCAGTAGGGGCTGTGGCAATTCCAAGGCCCTGGCTGTGAATCATGAACCATGTTCCCCTTTAACTCAGGTGTGTGTGGAACAGACTTAGCTTTGGCTGGTGGACTGTTGTGTTTGATTGTTCAAATCTGTCTGGAGGCTGCCTGAAGGAGTAAAGAGGGCCGATCCTCCCTAGACTGGGGCAGGGGAGGGGGAATCAGTAAACAAGGTCTCCAGGCTGTGGCTACCCTAAATCACCTGGGATTAAATAGGATTCTGAAGGTTAAAGGAGAAGGACTGGTGTGAGACTTTCTCACAGAATGTAGAATTTACAAAAGCACCAAGTAGCTTTGCAAAATGGCAAATTAGGAATTTCTAAAGGTTGTCCTTCCACAAAAACAATTGCATGGGAAAAAGCAATTGGAACCATCGTGCTTGGGCCTTCAGAAAAACATAACTTCTAATAGAAGGTGCTAGTACATTATATAGTACAGGGGAGCTCTGGTGGCGTAGTGCCTAAGGCATCTGACTGCTAACCAGAAGGCTGGTGGTTCAAAGCCACTCCTCGGAAGAAAGTCTGGGCAATCTACTTCCACAGAGATACCACCTTGGAAACCCAAGGAGGGGTTGCTATGAGTCAGAATCAACTTGATGGCAGTGAGTGAGTGAGTGAGTGAGTGGGACATTACAAGAGGATGATTTTTCCACGCTTCTAAAAAAATGGGTGTTGGAATTCCAGTGAAGGGGACCTGAGCATTCCTGAAGAAGAAAAGGACATGAAAAACAGCAGGGACATAAGAAATCTTAAGAACATATTAGGCAACCTGAATAACATTTAGGGAACTAGTCAGAAACTAGTTAGGAAGAAAGTTTCAGGTTAGATTGTAGAGGCCTTAAACAGGAAGTTAAAGAATTTGGATTTTATTCTCTTGGCAGTGCAGAGCTACAGAAGCTCTTTGAGCTAGGAAGTGTGACTATCAAAGATGTATTTTAGGGAGATTAGTGTTAGTCAAAAATGGCCAGATGAAAAGAAAGACCAGAAGCAGGGAGACCTGATTGGAGGGTTATCACGTTGGTCCAGCTGAGGCAGTAGGAAGAGAAAGGAGTGAGATTTGAAAGACATTGCCAGAATAGAACAAATAACACCTGAGGAAGAAAGAAGCAAAGGAGAGGGAGGATTCAACAATGACTCAGGTTTTGAGCCTGGATGATTGAGGAAACAGAAGTAGTGAAGTCAAGAGGAAAATCTGAGTTGAGAGGGAAGGATGAGGAAATCAGTTTGAGGCCATATCCAGATGGATTTCTAGAACAGGCAGTTAGAAATAGGGACTCGGGAGTTACTTTACAATTAATAGATTATAGATTTAATAGGCAATAGATCAAAATAGACATAGATTTAATAGGTAATATAGTTAAGAGTAATCTACATGTGTGGTAAAAAGTAAAACTATGAAAGTAGATAGACTCACCAAATATGACATAGGTTTTTGACACAGATTAATAATTAAATATTAATGTCAAAAATTGGCATAATATTTGTATCTCCCATTGTAAGATATAATACAGGATCATATCAATTTTAAAAAAAAGCTAAGAATGTATAGGTAGGCTGGGACAGGAAGTCTGAACATAGAAACAAATGTAACCACAATGAAACATGGCATTTTGCAAATTCATTCCTTGGAAAAATTTTCATCACTAACATTTGGAAGTTGAAATGCTAAGCAAATCTATTCAAATTATTCATCTCCACTCAAATTCATTTCTCTTTTCCTCTGAAATCAATATTGTTTTCTGGATGAGAGAATTAATTACCATCACAAATAAAGTATTTCATAAGAATGCTAATCTCAACCTTGATCTCACAAAAACATTGATAAATACGGTCTTTTGTTTGCATGCTCTATTGACACCATTTTAGGATGTACAATGTACTTCTTTATCCTAAACTGCCTTACAGCATAGTTTGTTTGTTTTTTTTTTTTCAATTGTGATTTGGGTGAAAGTTTACAGAGCAAATTCACTTTCCATACAGGAGTTCACACATGTTGTCCCATGACATTGACTACAATTTACCCCAATGCAACAGCTCCCCTCCCACTTTCTCCTGATAGTTACCTCTTCCCTGTGTCCATCCCTCCATGCATTCCTGCCCCCCAAACTGTCTCCCTGTGCATAAACAGCCATTGTATTCTCCCATGATTGTTCTCTCCAAGGAGTGTATCTACCTCAGGAACATGTTCAACTCATATGCCTGTCTTTTGTTTGGCTGGAAGCCA